TGGAAACCCACAGGGGCACCACTCCCCAGTTGGGTGGGGTTGGAATTGATTCGATGATGGCAGAGAGAGTTACTACAGCGTTAGAGGAGGTCAGACATCATGCCGACATTGTTCATCATCACAGATACTATACAAGATGTTACCATTTAAATTGGTGGAACTTTGTAGTCCAAACGTCTTTCATGCCCATTGTGGGCCTTTGGGTCGAGTGCCAAAGATCCGAGATCATTTCCTTTATACAATCAGCAAGGTGTAAAGGCAATGTTTCGATATTAAATGGCGTTTAAAATGCATTGTCTCATTAGAGAAAGGCATGCGAAGGTAAATCGCTTTGACAATGTTGTAGAACTGATTGTGGTGATGATTGTACAATTCCTCTGGATGTAACTCAACTAGTGAATTGGATAGCGGTCATGTGGTGTAGTGGTTATGCGCTGGGCCGCCTTTTGGAACCAGCAGCTGCTCTGTACAAGAAAGATGGGGCTTCCGCTGACTCTCGTAAAGAGTTTCAGTCTGGAAACCCACAGGGCAGTTCTAGTCTATTCTATAGGGCGGCTGTGAGTCAGCATTTACTGGATGGCAGTCAGTTTGGCTTGGGTTTGACCAGTGGTTCTCCACCTTCCTCGTGCTGCGACCCTTCTGACGTCCCTCATGTGGTGGTGACCCCTCAACCATAGAATTGTTTTCGTTGCTACTTCATAACTGTAATTTTGCTCCTGCTATGAATCGGGCGACCCCCGTGAAAGGGTCGTTTGACACCCCCAGAGGGGTCTCGACCCACAGGTTGAGAACCGCTGGGTTAGACAGTTATTGCAAAAATGAGGTATGGGTCTATCTGTCCACACATAGAAGCTGTCTTTGGCACAGACTTAATTAAAAAGCAGGTTGCACCACAGCATGAATAGAATGATAACAAAGCAAAAAAAAAAAAGTTACATAATGCAGATGGAGTTAGGTTAAAGTTTACTGTCCCGATCTTCCTTAGGATCCATTTAAATTTGTTCTGGTTTCTAATATTTCCTAATTTCTTTTAGACTGAGGTTTTTACCTGTTTTACTTTGCTAATCTTGTTAGTTTGTTTTTTAAATGTTTTTCTGTATATAAAATCCAAGCTAGCTAATTCCACAGAGGTGGTAACTGGATTAATGGTCCTTTGGGAGGGTGGCAGGGGAGGGTGGGGGAAATGAGGGGCTAATACCAATGAGGACAAGAATGAAGAAAACGTTCTACAACTGATTGTGGTGATGCTGATTGTACAACTCTTCTGGATATTACTGAACTACTGAATGTGTGATATGTGGATTGTATGCCAATAAAACTCTTGGGGGTAAACAGCTACATAAATGGGTTAACAAGCTAGTTAAAGATAGATGCATGTGCAAACAGTTCCCAGGGTCCCTTCGGCTCCTCCCCTCTGTGTAGAAGCAGCCAGCTGGTTTGGAGACAACAGTGCACTCACACAAACACATACACAGATTGAAGGCTGACCCTTGACCATCCAGAACCATTCAGCACCGGCCCATCCTCCGTGCACAGTGGGTACTCAGGGATGGGGACAGTGTGTTTTCCAAGGACAGCAAGGTTTCTTTGTCACGTTGCCTTTAGGATCCTCAACATTTCCCAGACTTTCTGCCAGCAGCTTTTAGTCGGCCTAAAATCAAGCTTAACATTGTAGAGAGGAGAGGAGCGTTTGGTGGCTCGACCTGGGTGGAGGGGCCATCTCTCCCCCAAGGCCCACCCTGGCACCTTCCTGGCAAGGTAGAGGGTGGCAATAGGCCAATGGCTAAACTCCTAGAATCTGTGTGGATAAGACCCAGGCCACAGTGGAAAGCTCCCCAGGTGACTCCAATGAGCAGCCAAGGTTGCCAACAAGTGCTTCTAGATGCACGAAGAATGTTACTACAAGATTTCTGGGCACTTTTCTCACCAGAAACAGTCAATAGGGATGGCTCAGGGGAGGTGGGATTACTTAGATGTAGGGGCAATCAGTCTAATTTTTTTTTAATGTAGCCACTTTCAGGGACCTTAATGATCTCAATGATCCTTAAGATTTGTAACATGGCTTTATTGTTATTGCCAGCTTTTTCTAAATTTCTGCAGAAACACATTCAAGTAAGCAGAATCAATGGCTGGCTTGGCAGTCTATTTAAGGAGGGAATCTTAACATTTTTATTTACTATAGTGAGAGGAATTGTCAATATATATAAATATACATGTACATCTACAATGTGTATACCCACGCATCAATGTAAGTGTAAGTATCAGTGGGAATTTCCTTCTGAATAAAACAATGAAGGCTAACTAGGAAAATACATGTCAAAAGGTGTTTGAACTGTGGTGCTGGGGAAGGATACTGAAAGTACCACGGACCGTCGAAACAAGAAACAAGTCGGTCTTGGAAGAAGTACAGTCAGAAGGCTCTTTAGAGGCGAGGATGTGGAGACTTTGGCTCACGTTCTTTGGACACGGTACCCGGAGAGACGGTCCCTGGAGAAGAGCATCATGCTTGGTCCAGTAGAAGGGCAGCAACAAAGAGGAGAGCCTCTCAGGAGATGAACTGATCCTGTGGTTGTAACCGTGGGCTCACGCATGGGAAGCGTTGTGAGGATGGCGCCGGACCAGGTGAGGCTTCATTCTACCGTAGGGAGGGTTTGCTAGGAGATGGAACTGACTCACTGGCCCCTAGCAACCCCACCACCACGCACAAGTGCACCCAAGTCTTGAAATCCACCCAAACCTCCGTGCTATTTTTCTTGAGACTATGTTCTTTGAAGGAGCCCAGGTATGTGGTGGGTGACGTGTTGGGCTGCTAACCTCAAGGTGAGCAGTTTGAATGCATGAGCCCTCTGTAGGAAGAAGGATGAGGTCTTCTGTTCCCATAGAGAGTGGCAGTCTCAGAAATACCGGTTCTCTCCTGTCTCCTGGGCACGCGCTGAGTCAGGAGTGCTTCGATGGCAGTGACGGCGAGCTCTGAGTGGTGGTGCGGTTACATGCTGGGCTGCTAAACACACAGGCAGCAGTGTGAACCCACGAGCTGCCCTTGGGAGAATGCCCAGGCTTTCTGCCCACAGGCAGGTGACAGCCCCAGCCTCTGAAACCCTAAGCAGGGTCACTGAGTTCGAAATGGACTCTCTGCCAGTAGGCTAGTTTTGATGTTCTTTGAGAAGGTACTTAGAAATAGGTATGCGCTGCTTGCTCTTCCTTGGAGAATGCTTTGAGATGGACTTATTCCCACCACAAGATATGCGTTCTCTACCTAACAAATTGGATTTTGAGTTCATTGAAGGCAAAGATCATATTGTGGTGAGGGGAATTTAAGATGCCACCTTTGAGCACTGTCCCCTGCGGGGTGACTTGGTTCCTCATCTGCCAATGGCATAAGTAGCTCTCCACAGACTGGTGGTGAAGCTTAAATGAAACCAGGAAGTTCAGGGTGCTCAGGACACACCTGTGACATAGTAAGTGTTCAATGAACAAGAATTAGATCAATGGATGACAACAACGATGATGCCTCTTTAACAGCAGTGGCTCTTGGGTTTGGCTGCAAATTGTAATTACATGGGAAGTTAAAAAACTCCTTACACCCAACCAATCAAATAAGACTTTCTGAAGGTGGGAGGCATTAGCAGTTCTCTGAAACTTCTTAGTTGATTTAAGAGGCCTAGATGGCATGTGTGTGTGTATGTGTCTGTGTGCGTGTGTGTCTGTGTGTAATCTAACCACCAGGTCAGTGTTCAAGCCCACCAGCCACTCCTTGGGAGAAAGACGAGGCTGTCTGCTTCCCTAAAGCTTCAGAAAGTCTATATCAGCAGTTCTTAACCTGTGGGTCATGACCCCTTTGGGGGGTCGAACGACCCTTTCCCAGGGGTCGCCCGATTCATAGCAGTAGCAACATGACAGTGATGAAGTGGCAATGAAAATAATTGTATGGTTGGGGGGTCACCACCACATGAGGAACTGTATTGAAGGGTCGCGGCATTAGGAAGGTTGAGAACCACTGGTCTATATAGATAGAGGTTGCTATGATTTGGAATCAGCTTGATGGCATGCGATGGGTTAGTTGATTTCAAGAGGAGGCCAGGCTCAAGAGCCACTGTTCTATGGCACGTTGTTCTCCCAGGGCTTTGGCACAACGCATACTCAGAAAGAGACTGGCCAACCGAGAATGTGAGCCAGGAGGGGGAACTCAACGCTTACCTGTGGAAATAACACCTGGTGGAAAAGCGGTACCTGTGTTTAGTTCATTACCTTCCATCATCAGGACCTCCTAGGGACACCAAGTACAAGTCGTTTGGAGAAAAGGCCAAGGCTTCAATTTTGCCCTTGTGGAGCGACAGCCGGGCAATCAGCTCCCTTTTCTTATAATCCCACAGAATGATATCTGCCTGCGGGAAGAGCATGCCTTAAGAAACACAGGCACATCTCCAGCGGTCCGAAGAAGAGAGCCACCCGTCTTGGTGAAAAGGAACCGGGGAGAGTCGCTGCTTGAGCAAGGAGATCACGTTTGACCCTTAGCGCAGCCACCAAGCAGGGAACGTTTTGTAAGCAGTGACTTGGGCTCGGGAGCCTTATTTGCCACAAGCCACAGCACCCGGGTTTCTAAACAGCAGACTCCTGCACTCCCCCACGACAGAAGGAAATGGGTAGAAAGAAAAGGGAAGGTTTTGAAATGAAGGAAGAGGAGAAGCACTTAGCCACAAGGAAGCAGCAACCTGGAGGGGGGTCTCCCCCCCCAATCTCTCTCCTTCTAAATCAGGGGTAGGGAACATGTGGCCCGAGGGGTGTGTAAACCAACCAACCAACCAACCCACCCCAAATTCACTTCTATAGAGTTGATGCCAACTCAGGGTAGCCCTATAGGACAGCGTAGAACTGCCCCCCGTGAGTTTCTGAGACGGTAACTCTTTATGGGAGGAGAAAGCCTCATCTTTCTTCCAAGGAGCGGCTGTTGGTTTTGAGGTGCTGACCTTGCAGTCAGCAGCCCAACATGTAACCACTGTGACACCAGGGCTCCTTGTGGGCCATTTACATGGTTCCAAATCATCACACCAGTAGCATCACACCCCTCCCCAACCAGAAGCAGTTCTAGTCATCAGGTTATGACTGAGTTAATTAAATAGTTGACCCGTGTGGCCCGAGGGTGATGCCATCACTATCCAAATAGCCCTTGGCAGAGGTCCCTCACCCCTGTGCTACATGGATTCACAAAGAGCTCTTTTCCATTTGTTTACCTTAAAGCCCATGAAGGTGACTTGTCCGGAGGCCAGGTAGACGCCACTCTTAGAGATGGCCACACAGGAGACGTTGTTGCCGTGGCCATGGAGGAAATTCTGTTCCTTCGTATTGATTGACTGAATGAGGACTGTGCAGCCCAAAGGATAAATCAGATGCTCCTGGTCCGGGTGACACTTCAGGCCATTGGGTACGTGCCCTACAAAAGAGAGAAGATGCAAGAATAATCACCTGAAACAGCACCGGCTGCATAATTGCTTCCTGGAACAGCCCCAAAGGAAGGCTTTGCAATAAACCTTTAGTGCAACTGAAAGAAGCTGGCAGGTAACAGGCAATTGACAAGGAGGTTGGTATAGTACGTTGTTGCTAGGTGCTTTTAAAGTCCACTCCCGGACTCATGGGGAACTCATGCACAATGGAATGAAATGCTGCCTGGACCTGGGCCATCTTCATGAGACCCTGGGGAACTGTGCTGGGCTAGTCCTGGTAGACTAGAGAAACCAATTCATGGACAGCTCATATGTGTAGGAAAGAGCTTTATCTATCTATAAGAGCAGTTGAATATTGAGAAAACATCCCAGCCCAGTCCAGATCAAGTCCATAAATCCGATATTAGCTCATATATCTGATACCAGTCTATAAAGTCCTCTTCAGACTCACAAAACATGCAATGACGCTGAATGCCGGGAGATCCCAGGCCAGTGGGTGCAAAGTCTTGTGGATCCAGTGGTGGTAGAAGCATCTCACGCTGGTGTAGGTCTCCATGTGGCTCCTCCAGTTCCCAGGGCACAAGGTCTATCAGCGTGGTGCCATGTGTCTTGTCAGTAGAGCATCTCTCAGGGAATGAGTCTTGAATCTTGTCAGTAGAAAGTCTCCAAGGGAGTGAGCAGAGAGAGTGTCTGTCCCACCTTCAGGGAGGAAAAACAGGAATTCCCAGAATCCTCAGGGGAAGACCATGCCCACACAGAGGTCTCATTGGCTATATAATGATTGCCAGGCTAGACTCCACCCCTTTACTCGCAATCCTCTCAAATTGACAAAAGATTATATAACTACCACATGAGCCATTGTAATCTTTAAGGTTTTCTTTTTTAAAAAATATGTATTTATTTATTTATCTTTAGGGTTTTCATGGGTGAATTTTCAGTAGTTCACTGGGTCTTTCTTCATCTGTAAAGAAACCTGTTTGACATCAGAACAACACAAAAGCCTCCACAGAGAGAGGAGTAATAATTAAGTCATGGTGCAGTGTCCAGGAAGCAAGCCCAGGTATTCTGCGGAATCCCCGCGTCCCTGCATAAACTGGTCCACCACAGTGCTTCTCAAGATTGAACTGCCTGAAATCCGTAGCTGTTGTTAGGCTCCCTCGAGATATTTCTGATCCATAGCAACCCAAATTGCAACAGAACAAAACACTGCCCGGTCCTGTGACATCCTCTCAATTGTTTGAGCCCATTGTCTCAGCCACTGTCCATCTATCTTATGAAGGGCCTTCTTCTTTTGCTGACCCTCTACTTTACCATGGTATCCTTCTCCAGAGACAGTCCGTGGTGATGATGTCTTCTGGTTGTCTAGCTCTATGAGTGGCGTTGGCTTTGCTTCTGGAAAAGGCAACTGCCATGTGTGTTCGAAGCCCACTTCTGGTACCATATGTGTTAGTTTGGGTAGACTAGAGAAACAAATTCATAGATACTCACATGTGTCCAAGAAAGAGTTATATATAAAAGAGTAATTGTATATTAAGAAAACATCTCAAAAAAAAAGAAAACATCTCAGTCCAGTCCAGATCAAGTCCATAAGTCCAATATTAGCCCATATGTCCAATACCAGTCTATAAAGTCCTCTTTAGACTCATGAACGCATGCAATGATGCCGAATACAGGAAGATTACAGGCCAATGGGTGGAAAGTCTTGTGGACCCAGTGGTGGTGAAAGCATCTCACCACTGGTGTGGGTCTCCATGTGGCTCCTCCAGCTCCAGGGCTCTGGCTCCATCAGAGTAGCTCCATGTGGCAAGTCAACAGGAATGTCTTGCAGGGAGACAAAGGTATTGGGTGTCTCCCACCTCTAGAGAGGAAGACTGTAGTTCCCAGAATCCTCTGGAGAAGGCCATGCCCAAAGAGAGACCTCATTGGCTATGACCTGATTGACAGGCTAGACTCTACCCCTTCACAAGTTGACAGATTATATAACTGTCACAGAAAATATCATGCTTTGGATAGCATGTTCAAAGTATGTGAGAGAAAGTTACCACCTCACTTTTTTTTTAAACGTTTTATTAGGGGCTCATACAACTCTTATCACAGTCCATACATACATCAATTGTGGAAAGCACATTTGTACATTCATTGCCCTCATTATTCTGAAAACATTTGCTCTCCACCTAAGCCCCTGGCATCAGCCCCTCATTTTTC